CGAAATAAAATGCGTAAAAAGGTGTTATTAAAACGAATCGAAGGTGGCTGCAAAAAAGAAGAAGCAACGACAATGTTTCCTTGGCACTTGTTGCGCGTTCACAGGTATATAATACACGTGCAGGTATTTTGCTTTTTGGTCAAAGATAATTTATATAGAGCCTCTCTCATGGGGCGTGTAAAATAATTATATCAAACGATAAGGACACGTGCGTCGTCGTCGTCGTCGTCTAAACAAAACTATATGTACGCAATTGCCTTGCATAATCGCGGTATACGAGCTCGTCGAGATAAGACACCTGAATAGAGAGACGGCCGTGGCATGTGTAACATCGGACAGTGTAACTGGGCCCAGACGCTCGTCGCGGAATGTCGTTTTACACCATAAAATCCGACCACCTTAGTAGCGCTTCATTGAATTACTCTCCTCTGGCTTTTATACTCGCACCTCTTCGAGAGAGAGAGAAGAGAGCCGCGCGTGTATAGGCGTAAATTATGCACATCAAGAGCTTGTTTGCTTTGTATAAAAACTTTTTATATACGTATACAAGAGCTTGTATTATCGAACCTCAATGGCATATACGAGTGAACCCGAGACAGAGAGAAGCGGGAAGAGAGAGAGAGAGAGAGAAAAAGGGCGAGTTGTATTGCACGTTTTGTTTTTACTTTTTTCTTCGCCGGTTTTTTATAACCCCGCGCGCGTATCTCGGCATGTTATACATATTTCAGATAAAATTTTCATCGTGATTTAGAAAACAATAAAATAACGTTTCGGACAATATTCCGGGGCGCCCGATCGATTATTCGAATCTCGGCATAAAAGTGAGCGCGCGCATGCAACTTTTGCAACTGATACATAAACTTTGACAACTTTCTCAAAGCATCAAGATATTTCGCTCGCTACGTATACAACCCCAAGAATGCACACGTACATAATCATTGAACTTTCTTTGTTTCTCACGAGGAAGCATAATAATCATCATAACGTTATCTTTTTCTCCTACCGGTGCAAGTATATATGCTATATGTATAGCTCGTAAGATTTACCATTTTAGATGAAGTCAATGTGGCAGCGGCGCACCGCGCTGCAAGTATATAAGAATACTTTCTTTATAATCCGCGTAATCATCCTTGTACGATCAGCTCGGCGGGTAGGGACGCTGACTAAATATCTTCTTAAAATCTCGCCGATATTAGCCGACTTAATTGCCGCATTATAATTACAAATATTTTTCCCCGCTTGACAATGTCTCCCGTGGCTGCTCCTGCTGCAGCAGCAGCAGCTCGTGTCGTACAAATAGTCGAGCCAACAACTTTACGAGGCTATTCAGGCCGTTATTATGATACCTAAAGGGCCCCGGTAACGAGCTGCACTTCGTTCCGGTAGCGTCCAGGCGCGCCAATTTACTGCCTGTCTATTTGGCTATACGTTTCAGCATTAATAAGGAAATTCCCGATGTTTATTTTGGACCAGAAAATTTGTCGATCTTTCTCTATCTCTTTGGCTGTCTATAAAGCAGCGGAAACGATCCTCTCGCGTTCTGCTAATTCGTCGACCTAGACACCGAGACACGTTTATAGACCTGCTCGGCTCGCTCGAGCCACGCGAGTAAGATCGCGTTCTCGTTTACCTGACATTGGCATGTAGCCTTGTGTTTTTAGCCCGGCAACAAAAACACAAAGACAAGACACGGCGGCAGGAAAAAAAAAAGGCCGCCGAGGAATTTAATTTCTTAGTTTCGCGCTCGGTGTTTGGCCTGCTTTTTCCGACCCTCGCGATCCACGCGCAACGATGTTCATTGATCGCTATATAGCTCGCGCGCCTCGCGTGCTGCATCAATCCTCGCGCTGCCGCCGCGGCACGAAGTATCTCCTTTATACACCGAGATTGAACTATTTTCAAGTGTATCATCTCCGAGCTCGAGGAAAATAAACAAACAAGCCTGGATAATGTTTTTTTATCCTAATTTTTTTTTTCATTCGAGCTACGAAAGTTGCAGAGTATGAATTATTTCTCAAATGCTTCTATAATATGCATGCATACACACACACGGGCTGCATATCGTCGCTGTATCTTGACTTGAATTACTGCAGAATAATAAGCCCGTGAGTGAAAGCAAAATTTTATGTAATATAACGTATGTGTACGTGTTATACATATCCGACGATTTGTTGAGAGCCATTTATAACACCTCGTAAATAGCTTGTAAATTCGTTCTCACGGCTATTATCATTTCTTGTATTATTTTATTGAATTTAATTGACCTCTCCTCTCTCGATCCTCGCGCGCGCGTTACTGATTGTTGCTGTTGCTGAGCTGCTCCAGTGAATCAAAGTTAAGGCGCAGTTCGCGCGCGTTTAACATAATGCAGGCAACTTAAGTGAATTTATCATTTTCTAAAATGTGCATCCACCACACATGCACAGAGCAGCTACGTAGGATTTCCAAGAAAGCCCATAAAAGATACCGACTTGTCTGTCTCGCTCGCTGGTGTTGTGTTTATGTGTGTGTGTATACGTTTGGTGGTATTTACCACGGTCAATTTACATACTGTCTATATGGCCAGTGCAGCAACAGCAGCAGCAGCAGCCACAGCCACAGCGGCGGCTGCAGTGCAGTGCTCGCGACTCGCAGCTCAGGATGCGGGGGAGAGATAGGGACTCTCTCGGCTTGACGTAGTCATGTTTAGTTCTCGCCAGAACTCACTTGCACGTTCGTTTGTCGTCGTTGTCCGTTTCTCTCTCTCTCTCTCTCTCCCTTCTCGCAGTGTTGTTGTTTATGCATACCCGGAAGAAATGGCCGCGACGCTGCACTTACTCTTTTCTCGTGCTTGCTCTTGCTCTTGCTTGCCTTGCGCGCGCGCACGCCGCGTGACATCTACTTTGTAGCTCGGCTGCATTTTTGCCACATTCGATTTGCAAAGTATCAGCGGACCATATACCGCGTACAAATGATATACTCGTGTAATATAAAAGCCGGGATGATTGATTGCCGTGACACATGCGCGCAAAGAGAGACTACGCAGACGCGGACATTAAAAAAGGGCACTCTTTTGCGTTGTATATTAGCGCGGTGCTCTCGTGAGATCGTATAACCTTAATTTCTGCCCTGTACCGCCGCCGCAGTTGTAGAACGCAGGTAGACTTTAATCGCCGCCAACACCATACCTACTCGCCGTTTATAGAGTACACGGGTATTCACCGTTTGATTAGATGAAACGAGCTTGTTTATAAGAGCATTTCATTGGGCCGCGAGAAAGATGTAGGACTGCAATTTCTGTACGTTCCCGCGCGAAGCTGCATCAAGGGTATACCTGTGTCATTGCCCATACGCGCCTATGCATAAACGCACGCACATACACACACACATATGCATATAAATGCGTGCAGTTGATCGGACTCGATTGCGCGCGCACCGTATCCTATATAATATTAGAGATATGCCCGAGAGCAAGAAAACACTTAACGACGCGCGTAAATCGTCGATTCTCACGCCAGACCAAATAGATCAGACGAGCGAGCAGCAACTCGCTCGGCATACTTTAAATATGACTCGTATTTTATAATCGCGATTTTTCTCTTTTTTTTTTATTTTTGTTCCGCGGCTCACTCGCGCAGTTTAGTTACGATGCAGGGAACAAACCAACGGTAGAAGCGTCGTATTCCCTCGACGAACTAAGTGGCCGTACAGGACGATATATAAACTTCGTCGCTGAACAAATATGAAATGAGAAAAAGAAAAAAAAAAGAAGGAAAAGCTTCTTGTTCGGTGAGCGCGAGCGAGCGATACGCTTGGATTCTTATTGCTAATGCGCCGTCGGAGGAGATGCTGTTGGCCGTGCTGCACTGCTGTGCACTAGCCTCAAATGGTACCGAAAGTCACGACGGCCTCTGATCCTCAAAGAAGTCACGCTTGTCTATATATGTGGATTATACATATTCTTATTTTTCCGTATCCGGATCTGAGCCTGGTCACGAAAAATCTAAATCGTAATGTAATTATGTGTGCACTTTAACGATCGTTTTCCAATGCTCATTCAATGACTTTTCTTGCCTAATGGCGCCGCTCAAATTTTACATTTTTAATGCCATCGTTACTTTTCGAATTCAAAGGATGTCAAGGTAATTTCATGGACCAATGTGTTCGACAATTTTTTTTCTTTCGCTTTGACTTATACAATTATTTTCACTTTACCACTTGCGAATTTACAGATGAAGGTACTCGAAATTTAACGCTGTGTGCTACTGGTCTTAATTATGAGCCTCTAAAAAATCCAAAGAATCTAATATTTTTATAAACTTTTTCAAACCTGTGCTTAGACTTATACAATTATTTTCACTTTACCACTTGTAGATTTACAGATAAAGGTACTCGCCATCTAGTGTCGAAGGGTCAAAGTGATATTTAATCGCATTAGAGTGATTGAAAACTGATGTCAATTTTTTGAAACAATCGTCAGTTTTAGAACATTTAAAATTAGATCAATATTTTCATCAAAAATTTACCACAACCCTATTTTATTAACATGGGACTAACTTTCGTTTTTGCTTCTGAGTTTAAAGCGAAATCTATCAGCGTTGAGGTGACGATATAAGAACTTATGAAGAAATTATGATAAATTTAGTTGTAAAAATCAATTAGTTTTAAAAGATAATATTTAAATCGTATAATATATAAAAAAATGAATATCAAAATTTTTGTCTGAACTCGGAAGTTTGTTTAAAAGTATTTAGTTTTAGAACGTCTGAAAATTCCTCGAAAAAATCGCCACTAAGTTAGAATTTTAAATGAATTCGAATGTTGTATGAACAATGTATAAGCAGATTAATAGGTACCTCAATTGTAAACAATGTGATCATAAACGATTTTGTCATATTCCTTTGACACACTGATCATATTTATGATAGAAACTAATTAGTTCAAATGTTGTCCTTCCCGATGAAACAAGCTGTAGAACCAAAACTAAATAGAAAGTTTCATCGTTTAATTTACGCATCAAAATGAATAAAAGTGAGAAGAAATCCGAAGAAGTTGTCTCAAAGAATAATTTAAGTGAACAAGACATTGCTGTTTCGGATGATAAACAACACCTTTATGATATTTGTCAGAAGGCATTTACACTAGAATCAAGCATGATAACACATCGAGACACAACTCACAATGATCAGAAAAATTACGCGTGTGACAAATGCGAAAAAAAATTTGAGTTCCGAAGTCATTTGAGTAGACACCAAGTATCAGTGCATAAAGTCCGCAAAGATTTTGCATGTGACATATGCGAAAAAAAATTTGTGAAAAAATCAAGTTTGTTTACACACCAAAAATTAGTACACAAAAATAGCGACGATTTTGCATGCAACAAGTGCAAGAGGAAATTTGAAAATAAATCAACTTTACTTAAGCACAACAAAATATTCCACGAAGTTTTTAAAGATTACTTATGTGAAAGGTGCGCAAAGAGATTTGGAAATAAACAAAGTTTGATTTTGCACATAAAAATAGTTCATGAGGGTCACAAAGATTTCGTATGTGACAGGTGTGAGAGGACTTTTGTACGAAAAGCACAAATGCTCGTTCATCAAAGGACAGTGCATGGAGGTCACAAAGATTACGCATGCGACACCTGCGAAAAAAAATTCGTATATAAACATAGTCTGCTCTTGCACATAAACATAGTACACAAAGGTCGCAAAGATTACGTATGCGACAAGTGCGAAAAGAAGTTTGGAATGAAATTCAATTTGCTCGAACACCGAAGGACAGTCCATGAAGGTCGCAAAGATTACGCATGTAATGAGTGCGACAAAAAATTTGGACAACGAGGCCATTTAATGAGACACCAAAAAATAGCCCACAAAGGTTGCAAAGATTACGAATGCGATAAATGCGAGAAAAAATTTGGACGTAAGTTGCATTTGCTCAGACACCAAAATACGATCCACGAGGGTCGCAAAGATTACGCATGTGACAATTGCAGGAAAAAATTTGCAAGTAAAGAAAGTTTACTCTACCACCAAAGGACAATTCACGAAGGTCGCAAAGATTACGTATGCGACAAGTGCGAAAAGAAGTTTGGAATGAAATTCTATTTGCTCCAACACCAAAGGACAGCACACGAACTTCGTAAAGATTTCGCATGTGACACCTGCGAAAAAAAATTTGTATATAAACATAGTCTGCTCTTGCACATAAACACAGTGCATGAAGATCGCAAAGATTTTGAATGCGACAAGTGCAAGAAGAAATTCGGGTTACTATGTAATTTGATCAGGCACCAAAAGACAGTCCACGAAAATCACAAGGATTACGAATGTGACAAATGCGAGAAAAAATTTGGACAAAAATGCTATTTGCTTGACCACCAAAAAACGATACACGAAGGTCGTAAAGATTTCACATGCGACAAGTGTGAACAGAAATTTACACGAAAGAACACGCTGCTCACCCACCAAAAGGTAGTCCACGAAGGTCGGAAAGATTACGCGTGCGACAAGTGCGAGAAAAAATTTGGAAAAAAACAGCACCTGCTCAACCACCAAAAAACAGTCCACGAAGGTCAAAAAGATTTTGCATGTGACAAATGCAAAAAGAAATTTGGGCTTAAAAGCAATCTCTTAAAACACCAAAGGACAATCCACAAAAGTCGGAAAGATTTCGCGTGCGACAGGTACGAGAGGACATTTGAACAAAAAATGTCATTGATAAGGCATCAAAAATTAGTTCACGAGGGTCGTAAGAGCCCTCATCAATTTCTCATGTGACAATTGCGAGAAGAAATTTGTAAAAAAATCGCATTAGCTTAAACACCAAAATATAGTTCATAAAGGTTGTACAGATTATGTACGCAGCAATTGTGAGAAGAAATGATGATTGACAATTTCAAATAAGTAGATACTTATGTATATGTATTTATAAAATTTAAAATTTAAAAATTGTGTCGAAATAATTTATCATGATACTCTTTGTTCATTTTTTGGCTACTCAGTTTCTATCTCTTCATTCAACCATTTAATAGTTTCATTTAAACCCAAAAATATTACGGCATTTCTCTCGGTGTCGAGGATCAATCTGAAATTTGACGTAAATACATTTCAGGTCTATAATTTTTTATTTACAAGCAGATCATGAAATTATCTTCAACATTCGGAACAGCTCTTCGGCTCTTCTCACTTTCTTCGTATCAATAACTCAGGCGAGCTATCTCTCCTGCGAGGGTAAAAACAAAGTGCCATAATCGATAATTCAGGGCGCCGTGCGGTGCGCAGAACAATGTGTCAGCTGCTGCACGTGTGTGAGTGCACGTATGTACGTGCGTGTAGCACCTTATCCTTTTCTCAAGATTTTTTGCCTCTCGTTTTGCGCTATAAGCCCCGGCGCGTTGTACCGCAGCACCTATCTCTGCGCGGACTTGCTCCCGCGGCAATATTGTAAACAACCGAGATACGATAGGATGGGCAAACGACTCGGGCCCTCTCGGCTTAGACTCGTTGCGCGTATAATATAGTATTAGCTTTTTGTAGTAAAACAGTTGACTTCGGGTGCCGGTGTGCGAGCGAGCTGCGCTGAGCGTCCGTACGTGAGCGCGGCTTATTTTTCTCATTTTCGATCCCCATGCCCAGGCTCATATTTTAATTGCTGAGAGGCTACACACGGGTACGCAATATATCCGCATTCTCCCATAGGAAATATATACGTAGAGGATATAAGTTTTGCGATTTTACGAGGACAACTCAATCTCGAGGCAAAGGTCAATATATATGCTTATAATTATACAGGTATTAAGCTATGAGCGCTGGACTGCATCTTGATTGCGCTTGCCCTAGAATTATTACCCTACATATTACAACGCGTGCATGTATTAACAGAGCGCAGCGCGCTACAAGGTGTTAATATACTTCAGCCGATACCCCGTTCCTTTCTTTGCTTTTTTCCTTTTTTCGTACGGCGAAAATTCTCGAGCTGTGCAGCGAAGAAGGAGATAGCTCGCGTATGATACACGTTTATTGCACCAGCCGGCCGTGCATACGTGTACGTATCGATATTTTAAAATCAGCGTGGATTTATGAATGTTTGCATTTACTGCCGGAAGCTACTTAGCGCGCGGCGAGGCTAAAAATGCCTGATTACTTGCGTGATGCATGAATAGATTGGCTACTTAGTTATTGTGCGCGCGGGCCACGTTGTGTTCCACCCTCGACTCGCGAGAGAACTCATTCGAGGCACCGCGAGATGAGTTGCAATTGACCGCGAGCGTATTTTTGTCTCCACGGCAGCTCGACGAGAAATGACCTAGCAATCTTAACCGAGCCAATTATCTTGGCCGGATCGATTAGCGCGCAATTTCTGACGTCTCTTTTCCTGCCGAGTATAAATATAAACAGCCTGAAAAAGTAAGCCTCTATTTATTTATCCAATCGACAAGAGAACTCGCTAGTTTTTTTTTTTCTTCCGTTTCGTGTACGCGAACGAGTCGAATGTTCCAAGAAACTGGTTCTTGCATCTTCGATTTCACGATCTCGTGCTGCGGTGCTAGAGACACTGCCCACGCGCGTCGCACGCACAATTCGCTGAAATAAAATTGAGCCGATCGACGATGTATACATAAAACTTTCGTGCGTCGAGTGTCTCTCGATCGGATAGTTGCCATCTCGAATGAATGTAGTAGGAGCAGCCGCCACCGCTGCCGAGAGATGTTGCACCTTACCTCGCGCGCCGCGCGCATACGGATCCACCTGCAAAATGCAGCTAGTTGCTATAATTTTATTACACGCTTATGTACATTCGTCGTCGTCGTCGTTCGAGCCCGCATCATTGTGCAGCGCACATTTGTGCAAGAAATTTCAAGGATTCAAGGTGTGCATATAAGAGACGATCGCGACGGTTGGCTTGGGTATGAAATTTATCTACTCGCTTATATATCCAGAGCATTGAAATATTTTGTAGGCTTTACAGCACTCCTTGCGCGCGCGAACGAGCGCGATATATGAAATTTGACGGCCGCGCGCGCGATGCTGTCAACGATAATGAGTTGCGGAAAAAATTGAGCAGCTCTCGCGTAGATAAATATAATATATAGTCTATAATCGAAAGTGAAAGGATCGTATAATTCGTGCGTTTTATTGTTTTAATAAACTCGCCTGCCTTGCTCGATTTTCGCACTTGTCAGAGAGCGAGCGAAACTATTGGCGAACAATAACCCGTTAAAATACCGCATCAGCGCAAGCACTTATCGCCGCGAGAGAAAAATTGCCCCGCTACATATTATATATTTCTCTACCTCCGAGTCAACGAGAGAGAGAGAGAGAGAGAGAGTCACCATCGACGCTTTCAATCACTATACACGCAGCGCACATCTCGATACCTTCCCTTCCTTCTTCTTTCTTTCTTTCTTTACTTACCAAACGCACGGGTAATCATATATAATTTTCGATTCTCTTTCGGGTTCTCTCGGCGTTTTATTTTTCCTTTTCTTTTTTATTTTACGCTTCTGGTTGGGCTCACGCGCGCGCGCTTGCGCTTCAACATCATCGTGTCATCGTAAAGTGATTCTTTACCGATTTTCGGCAGATACACCTCTTCTTTTTTTTTCTGTCCGTAGGGCGAGGAAGATGCTAATAATTTACGAGCGCACGATTCGGAGCCTCGATAACGACGGAGCTGCCTCTATACATACGTGCATTCGCTCAATGAGTTATTACGCGGCTATGTATGTGTGTGTGTGTGCGCAAGAGTATCGCGCGTATACGTATCGAGTTTTAAATTCAATAAAGTTATTTTTTAGCAGCATCGCGCAAGTTTCTTTTCTTTCTTCGGCATTTATTATTATATCTTCATTGCGACTGCGGAGGACTCTTACCTATATGCACATGCTTTCTTTCAATATTATATATTACATTATACACTGGCGCGCGAGACCGGACATCGATTGAGTAATATACTGTCGTTAAAAAAGTCACATTTTATAGTGAGCTGCTATAAACCTTGTCAACGCGAATGGAGACATTATGAATGTTGATTGCTCGAATGCTTACATATATACAGGCACAGACACAGGCACATACATACATAGCACTACAGTTATCTCTCGGTCTCATTTCTCCTCCTCAGCGAAGCGGACGGGGGTTCTTTATTTTCTTGCTCCGAACTCGAAGAATTTTTTTCCCTTTTTGTCCATCTCTCTCTTGTGCAGGCTCGCTCGCTCGCTCGCAACCTCCATGCGCGTACGTCTTCAAGGTGCATTTGCATCTCAATCTCCACCGGCGGGGTAATTTAACATTCACTTTCGGTATTTTCAGATTAGCGCGGGCAGCTTAAATTTCGACTAAAAATTACGGCTTTTTGTCACAAGCGCGCCGAGTTTTACGCAAAGAAACGTACGGGCGCGCGCGCGCGAGGCTTGTTCGTGTGTCGCCTCGTCGCGACGATGATTTTTCTTCCCTGCAGCGAGTTTCGCTGCGAAATTTTTTAACCAAGAGAGAGAGAGAGACGAAAAATAAAAAGATAGCCCGAGAATTTAAGTTTGTAATTTGCGCTCTTATCGTTGCACCGGAGGACCATGTGTAAGTAAATACCAAAGGTAGTCAATAAAACAGCGTACGCACGCGCGCAGTAAAAGAGTGCCGTTATGAAAGTCCTGGCTTAAGAAATGGTTTTTTGAAGTGTTTATAAATTCGTGAATTCGTTTTTTTCTTCTTATTTTTAATGGAACAAGTGATATGTTCATTCATCATGCGTAATAAACCACCAATGGTACCTTATAGCAGCGTTACAACATTTTTCAGAAACACTTACTCTTTTTTTATTTTTTCCTCCGAACTTACAGTAGCAAAAAAAAATTAATCGTTCGATGAACATTATTTTATAAATATAGCATTTCTCGCTCGTCTAATTCAACAGCTGACGAGTGTCTCGAGTATGGAGGAGAAAAAGGCGCGAAGATTTTCACGGCGATAGGCACTTCTCGCATGCAGCCGTGAAACCGCAAAACGAAGCAATTCGAAGGAGTCGGGCCAAAGTCAGTCAAGGTACAAGGCTTGCGTATACTATACATGCAGGTATATAGGTAATACGGGCGCGTCTCATCCGGAAACGGTGGCCGGAAGTCGTTGCTTGTCGCGTGCCGACCACGCGACCATTCGCTAATGACATGATTGCACTACTACTATATAAAGTTTATACAGCACATTATACATATAAACTAGCCGTGCCTTTTTTGAATTGTAATACGCCATAATTGCTGCGATGACCGCGACTACGCGTAAACTGCGTGACGCTTCGCTTTTTTCTCTCTCTGTCTCTCGTTTGTGCGTACGTTATATATTTCAATCAATCGCAAATAAAACGCGTACGCGTGTGCCGACTCTGACTCGAGTGGAGTGAAGTACCGAAAGGCGTCGACGTTTTACGCGCGTGAGATTTCTCGCGCGCGTCGACTGTTGACAATTATTGTCACATTGTTGCGGCCTCGTTACGATCGTGAGCTTGCCTCGTATATCGAGTGATTGATCGGTTTCGAGAAAATAAGCATCGTTAGACGCGCTCGCGATAGCTGCTGTATTTCTCACGAGCAATCGTCGTCGTTGCTGCTGCCGATGCCCGGCATGTAATATACAAACGCGCATCGAAATATCTGTCGAACTGCGCGCGAATTTGCATCGTGTAATAATCGCTCGGGCGCGTGCCAGGCTATCTTGAAATCGTGCGGGTAGTAGTGCTCGAGTATGCATATGTTTATAGCGCATATGTGTAAAAAAGCACCTGCCCCCGTGCATATTGCGCGGCGCGCACTTATGCAACGGACTGTGACCGTCCGAGGCATCCCTTCGCGCGCTCTATAGCTTTGTCATTAGTCTGTATTTATATAAATGTGACGTGCCAGAAGGCCAGAGTTCAAATGTTGACCATTTCAGTAACTATGGAGCTCTGCGTCGAAGTATTTCCGTTTTTTTTTTTTGTTATGTGCATATTATACGTTTGTGTCATTAGGAATTTTGGGTTAAATTTTTCTCGCTGCTACATAGATCGATTTTCGAGATACCGAATTGAATTGACTTAATTTTCTGAAACGTTCTAATCTGATAAGTATGCTCTATCATTAAGCGCATATAGAGGAGCTGTTGGAAGCTAGCAAACGGTCCCGAAGAGGATAACGAAGCATTCGTGTATTATAAAGTATCAATTAGCCTCGCATAAAATTTGAAATATCCAGCCGCAGAAAGCATAAAAATTTATAGCAAAGATCATTGGCTCGGCGAACAAAAGCCGCATCGTAACTGCGCGGACGTGAGTTTCGCGGCTCTCCTTCTCGTGCTCCCTAAACATTTGTCGTGTGCGCAAAGTCAAACGCTCTCCGCTACCGTAAAATAATCGTAATAATAATTCAAATTAAACTCTCTAATACTTAGCGGATATTATTACCCTCACTTGAGGCCAATAACGAGCTTTTGTATTTCGAGCTCGTTAAAGGCGCACGTGCCATCGATACGTGTATTCGTGTGCGTTGAACGTCGCTAGGGTGTAACGCACGAGGCGTCTTGGAAGAAAGCAGATGCTCGAAACATTCCAAGGAGCGCCTCGACGAGGGGTTAGACCTGTGCAGTTTTCTCGTGTCACCTGCGCGGGGCGGCGGTGGCCGCGATAATGAATACCACCACTCAAGCGAGAGATGCATTTGGAAAAAAATACCTGCGGGGTGCGCGTCGTGTCCAGCCAAGCGCGAATCCCTTATATGTATACGCGTTCTGCGCACGCAGGACAGATGGACGCGCGTGCCACGACTCTTGCGTACGCGCAGGTAACCCCTGTCGCGGACTCCACTGTTGGGCCCCCCCCCAAAATTCGTTCGTGTTTTGCTCGTGTATATTAGTACTTGAAATACTTGTCCGCCGCGATCCACAGTTGGATTGTTTATCTAGTTGATTTTTTAGGAAGTGATGCGTCCTTTTTAGCATAATTTTACGACTATCAGATACGCAAGTATTTGGACACACAAAAAAAACATGTGGCCACTCGATAGCATAATGAAGATGTACTTCTCTCTGCGTACGTACGAATTTGAGGTGATAATTTTTTTTAGTTTGCTGGCATGTGTCGCCGGATTGTCGGAAACGAAAAAAATTATACATTTTAGAAAAAACAAGCGATATTATCGCTTTGATCACCATTGAGAGAACATTACCAAGTTACTTTTGTTGGCTATTTTATTTTTATAAGATCGGGAAACCGTTACGAAAAAAAGAAACTGTAATTACAATGAAGCATGTTAATTTTAAAAAGTAAAAAATTCATTATTTCGGTAACTGATTTTTATGTAAATGCTTTTTCGATTTAGTCTATACTAAAACTTTCCGATTGATTGTAATTTTTTTTTCGGTGCACTTATATTCTGACGATAGGTTTTGCGTAATATACTTCTAAAGTTTTTTATTCATTCCTTCAATTTGGAATGAAAAATTCTACAAATGATACGGGCTTAAAATTCCAAGTTAAAAGTACGAATGAAATTTTTGTTGTTTGATGCGTGTAATGAACGTTGACAATTGTTTATTGAGGTCGCAGAAACATCGAGAGATGCGTGAACAATAAAAATTTTATTACATATTTTATTTGTAGCTATTTTTTTATTTCAAAGGACGAAAAATCGTGTTTTCCCATTAATATGACTGTTTATTCCATGTTTGACAGTACCGAAATTTTCTGAAACATTCCTTTCACTCTCTTTCTAGCATTGGAATAATTAAACTTGAATCCTTAAGGATTAAAAAAAGTAACATTTAGATGGTATTATTTTTGGTGAATGTTGATCCAGTAATATACAAATTCAAATTCAAGTGTTTTACTCGAATAGCATCAAATTAACAGTAACATATTATGGAATAAACACTATTTTAGAAATTTGGAATTTGGACAGAATGATGACAAATTGAAAGAAGTATTGGATAAAAAAAAAAATTTGCGTAAGACGTGTTATTTATTTAATATATAAGTTTTCGTACAAAGAATGGAACTTTTCATTGGAAATGATCTTATTTTGCTACAATCTTGAAATGTATTTACGTGGACATTTGAAATTACCTTGCGACAATCACTACATAGATTTACTTTTAGCATGAACTGAACTTACATGAGTTTTGAGGCTACTTTTTTCTCCAAATAATTTATGACAAATTTCACATTTGAAGGGTTTGATACCATCATGTACTCCTGTTATGTGTCTCTTGAGGTTACCAGTATTGGAATATAATTTGTGACAAATCTCACATTCAAAGAGTTTACTATTATTATGTATTTTACTAATGTGGATATTGACATAAGCTTTGGATGTAAATGATTTGTGGCAAATTCCACACTCGAAGGGTTTGCTCCGGTTATGTACCTTAATTATGTGAGTTTTGATTCCACTTTTTTCTTCAAATGTTTTATGACATATATCACATTCAAAGGGTTTGTTGCGATCATGTGCTAACTTCATGTGAGTATTTAGGCTATGCTTGCGGTTATATGTCTGGTGACACACTTCACATTCAAAGGATAATCTGTCACCATGAACTGAGATTTTGTGTGCATGAAGGCCTGTCTGATATGCAAATGTTTTTTGACAAGTCTCACATTCAAAGCGTTTTTTTTTACCATGTATTGAATTTACGTGCGCTTTGAGATAAGTCTGGGTCGTATATGATTTGTGACAAATTTCGCATTCAAAGGATTTGCTTTGATTATGTACTACATTTATGTGATTATTTAAGTTACTCTTGTATGAAAATGATTGGTGGCAAATCTTACACTCGAAGGGTCTTTTGCCATCATGTACTGCTTTTAAGTGTACTTTCATGCTACATTTTTTTCCAAACGATTTATGACAAATGTCACATTCATAAAGTTTGCGACGAAGATGGACTAGCGTTATGTGATTTGTTAAGGTTCTGTGATATCCAAATGATCTGTGGCAAATCTCACACTCGTATGCTTTGCTTCCATTATGTACAACCATTATGTGTTTTTTTAGAATATACTTTTGTCCAACCTTTAGGTGACAAATATCACATTCGAATGGTTTAGTAGGATTATGTATGAAATTCATATGAGATTTGAGGCCATCTTTTCGTCCGAATGATCTGTGGCATACGTCGCACTCAAAGGTTTTGATACGATTGTGAACTGCATTCATGTGACTTTTTAGACTACAGTTGCGTACAAATAATTTGTGACAAATGTTACATTCAAAGGTTTTGCTTCGATCATGTATTTCTTTCAAATGACGTCGGAGGTAAGCTTTTAGTCCAAATGATTTGTGACAAATATCACACTTGAAGGGTTTACTCAAATTATGTACTATCATGTGCCTCTTCAGGCCTTCTTTTTTTCCAAATGCTTTGTGACAAATGTTACATTCATACATTTTAATTTTAGTACGTATCGTATTCTTCTGTTTTTTCAGACCTGCTCTTGCTGTCTTTAAACACATTTTTGACGCATACGACGATGATTTCTTTTCAACGTGGTTTTCACTATTTTGTAGCTTTTCATAATCAGAAAATTTAAAACAAGAATTCTCTTTAGACTTGCAGTTATCGTCACAATCAGTCTGAACTTCGTTTTCTATTTTTATAACTGGTTGAACGTTTCCATATTCAGATTTAATGACGATTGGCGCTAAAGGCTTCAGTTCGAGTTTAACGTCTTTGCACTCAAAATCATTGAATACCGTTTCATTTAAATCGTCCAGTAACGGTTTAACTTCATTCCTGTGATTTGACTGAAATGAAAATTTTGTTATAGTTTTTGATAGCGAAAAAGCAGAACATAATTAAAATCATTGAACTCACCGATAGTTCATGAGACGACGATCCTTGAAAGTTCTCCGACTTGCAATAGCCCACCAAATCGATAACAAATTCGTCAGCTGTATTCGTCACGGTATCGCTCGGTTCTTCCTTCACCCTGAAGAACAATCGAGTTTTATTAGAGATCGATCAGAAAATTATACTAGCATAGAAACACACAAAAATCATACCTAATTACGTCTTTATTGCTATCCATCTCCTCCTTGATATCTATCTCCTCCTTGACATTCATCTCCTTGATATTCATCTCTTCCTTGATATCCATATATTCCTTGCTATCCATCACTTCTTCGGTTGAGTATCGATTCTACAATTTTTCACTACACGCACCGACAAATATTCGAGGTTACACGCCTCGAGAAGCCAACACTGCACTTTGATTTCGAGTACAGATTTTCACTTTATTACGGGAATAATTCTTAACACTTTTTCTTTGATAAAAATACAGATTCACACTAGCGAATCAACGCATCAGTCGTAAAGGTTAGATAGGTGTCCTGCGACTGCTATACTATCGAATATCGATCGTTTGGAAAACTTTCACTGTGTAGCACCGACGGCTCGTCCGCAAACAGTCAATTGCTCAAGCGAATAGCGCGAGCTATGTGCTGTTGTCGACCACGCACGAATACGAACTCGTGCAGACCGAGTGAAACAAGCGAGCGCGAGAGAGACAGATTTACACGACGCAGCACAGACGTTACAAAGGCAAGAGCGCCGAGCACTGATGGTCCGTGTTGCTCGTGCCGCAGTAGCGGGGAGCTGCAGTTAGAGTCTTGAAGCTGCCGAATGTCGGCTAAATCATAGCGTGCGAAGGATATACAGACGTTTCCAAGGCAGTGCATCGAGGCACGAAGTCTACAACGATTATCGTGCGGGCGCGTCGTTCACGCAATTTTTACGTTTGTCTTTTTTTATTATTTTGGTCGTGTGGACGCCGCGTAGCGCTCACGAACTGCCAGTATCCACGTATGAAAACAGTGCTCTACTATGCTGAAATTTTTACGTTTGTTCATTTACGTACCCAACATGCCTAAAGAAGCTTCATTTCGAAAATAAAGAACGAAAGAAAAGCCAACAGTTGCCTCGCAGAGACAAACGCTTTCATTCGTCCACATTTTTTCATAATCGCATCCTCGGTGTCCATAACAGCACACTAACGCACGCACAACACACACGCGAAGAAACAGGTTTAATTTGGCGTTGTGTGCGTCGTCGTTCACCAGGTGGTGGTGGCGGGTCACCCTGTGCGCGTTAATTCAAGCAAGCATGAATCCGCCACTGTGCGCGGACTCTGCGCGACCCCCGCATTGCACCTGCAACCCTCGTTCTCTCTCTCTCTCTCTCTCTCTTGCTTTTTTATTTTTCGTACAAGAAAGCACCTTCCTCGGCACGGCTCGCACTTCCTTTTCCTTGCAAGCAGTGGTGCGTGCATCCGCAGATACGTACACATATATATAAGCGATTTCCTTCTACCCCCTCAGCGCGCGCCACATACGGACAGGTGACACAGGGCACGTATGTGCGGCGTAAATGTGCCGCGTACATGTAATACAGTACATATAGGTGGCACGCGTACTCCCCTCGAAATTCGTCTTGGCCGTTTTCTTATACTTCGGCTGCCGATGGTAGAGTAGCTCCTTGGGTTCTCTTTCTCTGCAGGTGATTGTTCGATGCTATATTACAGGGTATACGCGCACACAACACTCAACGGTCGAACGTATAACGCGAGGGTCGTCGTACGCGCACGAGGCGAGGCCCCAACCGAACAAATATCATATGCGCCCTGTGTACGATAGGAATATCGGCGCTGAAGTTTCGAGTGCGCATTTTTACCTTGAAAAATCGAGCCCGACCGATTGAATAAATCGAAACGGCCGAGGCATTATTATTTACGCTTAATCTCGCTACTTAATTCTCTCCCCGTAATCAATCACGAAGATATAATATCGACTTTACTGCTCGGCGCGCGAGGTAATAAAATGGCGCGAGGCAGGTATAAGTTCGATATATACACACATGTACATTAGCATAAAATGTTATGTCATCTTAAAAACGAAAGTATGCAGCATAATATATACGCGCGGGGCATAGCGCGCGCTCACGTATCGGTGTATAGATACGCGCGCGTATAAATCGATCTGCTGGCATCGGTAGCATCCGTAGCGATCAAAATAACTAACCATAAGCCGATGACTACATGCAAATTCAGCTCGCACGCCCTTGCGCGCGCTATACACAGAAAAAGCTTACGGGCTCTGTGACGTGTACAAAAATAAATAGGAATTAATAGCCGATAAGATGTGCGCGCCTTCGCACGCGAAGCCGATGCAGTACGGAGCTGAGCCATCGAATCCGGATCGTCAGATAATCTCGCGCCTTTTACAAGCCTCGAGAGACTGCAGCATACACATATAATATAGCAGTCGGACAGGTGACTTATTGCGCACGGGATTGGAGAAGAGCAGCAGCAGCAGCAGCAGCAACAGTTTGATATAAATAATGGCATCGATACGATGCGCGCGAGAGCAGCACATTGTCTCGCGAGAAATAGGTGGAACAAAAAAATCAAATTATTTATATCGGCCGAGCGAGCGAGAGAGAGAGAGAAAGAAAGAGAAAGAGAGAGACCAAAGCTTTGTTCTGCGATACGCGACAACATTAATTCGTAATGCGATCGTACGCGCTTTATTTATATTGATAAGAGCTGCAGCATTGGATTACTTTGGAGCTGGTAGCCGAGGATGTAAATAAGACAATTTATAATCGATTGTTCGCTTGTATACAAGTCGATAATTTCGGTGCCCGTAAAGAAGTAGGCGTGTGCGTTAGCGAAGCCCAGCCAAGTAGACGTGTTAACAAGTACAAAATTTACTCGATGGGACTATAAAACGTTGAATTTTATGCACCGTCTCGGGGAAAACTAGTTCGAATTTCATAGCCGCGCAGTTTTGCTTGCCTATCTCTGGTGCTTGGCAAACAAGGTATGCGATGTAACGATGAATAATCGATAATGATATGCCGATTTTTCGTTGACGATTTCGATATGCACAAGCAGCTCTATACGCGCGTGCACCTCCAGTGACACAGTATTCATAAATCTCAAAGTTATAGTTATGCTATAGAAAGTGATATTGCATTCCCGGCCTCGCGCTTTAATACACAACGTTGTTGTTCTCGTTGTTACCCTGACAGCCGTAAGCAGCGTATATACGTACAACTCCCTAAGGTTACGCGCCGCGCGCAAGTATAATAATATGACTCCACGCGCGCAAAGGGGGTTACAATTTAGACGTATCGAGTGTTGCGCGAATTTCGCCTTTTCGTGCGTCGGTACGCCTGGCAAGCGGCTCTCCCGCGACTACCTTATTGCACGTATATAATGCACATAACGCGCGGATATCGGCACCCGATGAAATATTAATGTTTGGGCCCCTGAAAAATGCGTGCCTCGAAAATTCACTCCTCGAGCGCGCGAGTTTCGCTTTATCTGCGCTGCAGCCCGAAGCTGCGCCGGGCAGCTCTCGCATTTTTGCTGGTAATGGACGGTTTAACGACGCCACTATTGTTTTCAATTTGATGCTTGTGTGTGACGCGCTTTATCTGCCCGGGGAGAATAAATTTCTCGAGTAAGCGCACTTATAAGCTCTCTCGGGTTAAAACTCGATACGGCTATGGAGTATAGGAGCGCGCGCGCGCGCGTAAGCGCTTGCCAGGCGTACAAGTGAATAAAACTTATATAGCGTCGCCTCGCACCTGTTTGAAAAAATCCATGCCGTCCAGAGGCCTCTGATACGCGCCCGAGCATATATTCCATGTCAATAAAAAAAGTCTCATTGCAGCTTATATTATATGCACGACTGTATATACACCGTGCAGCGCTGCATGTTATACGCGCGCCATACAATAAAACGTGTGCGCGGCGCAGCGACTCCTCTATAGTCATCCTGTGTGGTAAAGGTGAGAGATGCAACCCTTTAAACCTGCCAACGTAAAATCAAGTCGTTTATGGGTTTTGAACATCCGTAATTCACATCATTGTCCATCCGAGCCATGCGAGAGTCGGCGATATTTACTACGAGTGTATATACGTGTGTAAGCTTCGTTTATATAGCCACCGGCAACGCGCACCACGTGCAGTACGGCGCGAAGCACATAAGCGAGTTGAAAAATAAAAAATAAAACAACAACGACCTATACGTGTATTCGCGTTTTAGCCGCGCGCGCACATATACACAAAAAGTATTTGCCAATGTATAAACATAACAGCGAAGATTTTTTAAATTGTAATTTAATGTATAACGCACACCGCACGCAAGTATCGCTCTTTTGAATTTTTGCGAGCGTATGCCGTGAAAAAAAAATGAAGAAAAGAAACAAGACGTAACAACGCTTAACTTGCTTTATTGAGGCTCAAGCGACTGCAGTTGAGCTGTAAAACGCTGCCCGCGCGCTGATGAATGTTTTTTATTGTTATTACGAGATCCAGGATATTTGGAAATATACCTTTTTCACGGCCTGATGTCAAAGTAATAAGAGTGTAAAATTTTTCGAGCTCGAAGAAGGATTTCCCCGCGCGTCGACTCGTGATTATATAGGAATGAACGCGTATAATTTTGACTCGAGCGCTACTGATTTGACATTTTATCAGCGCGCTAACTATATTGAACTGAAAAATTATTGCTTTGCGATTAAAGCTCCGGCTGACCTTATTTTTAACAACGCGTTTTAGTTTGAACTAATCTTTCGTTTAGCAAACATGGATTTTGAGTCGATCGTTGAAATGTGTCAAGATGTCTTTTATGAAAGTATGGAAATATCATCTTGGTTTTTCATTCTATTTATTGTTAGTCTCGCTTTGATCACTGAAACATCAACGATTAATTGCGCTCTCGCTATAGTATTTATCAAATTATTGGGAAGAATGCTCGAAGAGGAGGTGGATATCGAAACATGGTGCTTATCAATGTGTGAAAGTGAGTGATAAACTAAAGCGTTGCGCTGTAGATATTTTTATAATTTAAGTATACGGGGTTAATAAAACGAAAATATAAATTTATTATTTATTATTTTTACTAGAATCAGGTATGTACTCCCAAGATACGTGTCGTGAAAAATGTCAAGAAAAGATACGCGAAATTGAGGTATAAATCTCCATTCAATAGTATTAATAGCATTTTGATTCATTTGTCTAACTTGAAACGAATCTTTTCATTGCAGATGGAGGAAACCAAAACGCATCCTAATGATTCATCGCACATAATCGGATGAAAATTAAAATTTTTCTTCCTCTGCCTGTGCATGGATAGTCAATGAGGCGTCGCGAGTATGTAGCACCTACTGAAAGCTGCTTATCGATTTAGTCTCCGCAAACAAGTCTGAAAAGTAGAACTCATGAAGCCATAAGGTGCGAGCTCAGTTCGACGCATTCATTTTCTATGCTACACAATAAAGTGAAGCAGCTGAGGTTGTGAA